TCCCAAAATTACCACTTCAATTACTAGTCCCCAGGGTAAAGCTGCTAGGAGAGGGGCAAAGGCCAGAGGACAGGTTCCTCTGCAGGGGATGATCGAAGCCACAAGTACCTGCTGTGTGCTCAGGGGCAAGTAACATGGTGACCACACACAGCAGTGGCATGAGTCCCTCTTGAACAGTCTCCTGAAAACATGATGGGATTAGAAGTGTTCTTAGAGGGGCACCTAGGTGGCTCAGTCGGTTAAGCCTTGGACCGGCTTAGGTCATGATCTCACAGTTTGTGGGTTCGAGCCCCGCGTCGGACTCTGTGCTGACCGCTCCGAGCCTGAAGCCTGCTTCGGATTCTCTCTCTGCCCCTCCCCCGCTCACTCTCTCAAAATAAACATAAAAAATGTTCTTAGCTTTATTATTAGATCTCCTGCACAAGTGGAGATGGCATGACTTGAGAGGCCATGAGATTAGGTTCAAGGTCACCAGTGAGGCACTGGTGGAAATGAACAGAAGTTTGGCTCTCCCGGCGGCTTCATGGAGCCTACAGGGTCCAGCGGCTGCTTATGCCTCTCCTAGGCCCAAGCTGCTCCCTGCCCATCTCCCCAATGCTCTGGAAAGCCTTTTCCTCAGCCACAACGCTGCTTGTGACTCAAGGTGATGGAATTTCCCCAACCAAACCACAATGCCTTCTAAGCATTGTTACTTTGCAGAAATGTGGCCTGATTTCAGAGCACAGAGTCATCTGTAAGTGGGAATGCCTGTCAGGTGAGAATGGAGTGGTGTCAAGGCGCACATCAGTCTCCAGGGCTCAATGAGGTTAGAACTTTCCTTGAGGGGCGCCTGGGTGGCGCAGTCGGTTAAGCGTCCGACTTCAGCCAGGTCACGATCTCGCGGTCCGTGAGTTCGAGCCCCGCGTCAGGCTCTGGGCTGATGGCTCGGAGCCTGGAGCCTGTTTCCGATTCTGTGTCTCCCTCTCTCTCTGCCCCTCCCCCGTTCATGCTCTGTCTCTGTCCCAAAAATAAATAAAAACGTTGAAAAAAAAAATTAAAAAAAAAAAAAAAAAAAAAAAAAAAAGAACTTTCCTTGAGAACAGCCACCCCACCAGGGGCACTGAGAACACCTCCACCTCATGGGTGCACTGCTCAACCCAGGGGAGTTCACCCACATGGATACACCCGCACAGCCATGTTAGTGGCCCTGGCTTGCATTCCACCTGTCTAGATACTGGGAGCATCCGAGCAACAGGGAGGAAAACTATTCAAGTATCAAAGTAAGTCCTACATTCTCAGCCATGCAAAATGACCACCACCTGCGTGTTTGGCGGTGAGGGAAAGTGAGGGGAGAGCAAGCACGGTGGCTGGAAGAGTTTTCAGTAAGAGGGAAAAAGCAAGGTGGGTAGAAAGGAAGCAAGAGAAATGTGGAGGCTGCATAGCCTAACACGAGAAGTGGGGATCCCTACCCTGACTGCATCCCACAGGTTCCTGTGACCAGAGCAGAAAGCCCTCAGGGATTTTAACCAAGGATCTGTAGATGCCCAGAGCAGGGCCTTGGAATGACTGGTGAACGGGCTCTGAAGCGGGACACCTGAGGGGGCGCCCTTCGCACTGCATCTGTATGAGCAGCGCCCCTGGAGTTGAATGCTGCACAGCCGGGAAGGCCACAGGGGGCCTGCCCATGAACTCTTCAAGAGTTTTGCATTAACTTTTCTGGGGACACAGACCAGCTTCCACCAAGTCAGTCACAGGGGCCCCTAATGTAAGAAAGCAAGGAACGCTACTTACTGGGAATCTGCCACCAGAGAGGAGCCATCCCAGTCACTCCTCCTGGCCACCTACTGGTAGGACCAGCTCTAGCCTCAGGCTGAACCCTCAATACCCAGTGGATAGAAGACACACTTGCTGAGGCTGAGGCACACGCTTGAGGAAACAGGCTTAAATTTCACCTGGAGAGACTTTCTGTTGGTGAGCATTGTGCTGTCCAGGAGAGATCTTGGGAGGCCTAGTCTTTGCGGATCCCAAGCCAGATTAAAAGCCGGTCTAGAAAGGTTACAGCTCGAGACGGCCAACTATCACTGCAAAAGGGAGAAGACAGAACGAGTTGTATTTATGACACCAGAACCTGTCTTAGGGAGTCACTGGGTGTGAAAAGGACTAGTTTAATATGGCAGCTAGAGAAAAGACTCCACGGTGCACACTGTAAACTCCTTAGTTAACTGCAAGGCAAATCTGGGGTTGGCCACAGCAGAATCACCCTGAACATGAGTGGTCCAGGGTGCTGGAATCAGGCCCCTGCTCTGTCCACTCCTGTTTAAGAACCTGTCAGCCACTGGCCTGCCTACAGAGCTCCCATGTGTCATCTAGCTCTGTCACAACAGACCCCTCACTCTCAAGGATGGAGACCTCTCCGTGGCTGCCACATGGCAGGAGATATGCTAGGCTCAGGCAGAAAGGCAGTTCGCTCACTGTCTCAGAACCCCCGGCCCCAGTCTCACAAATACTCATGAACCCCATTCCTGAGGGCCAAGCCCCTCTGCTGCCCCCTTCATGAATGAAACCTTTCCTCCAGCCCCTTCTTTTGCCCTCTGGGGTTTGCGCCAGAGCAAAACAGGGCAGGGGGACAATATTCACTTCAGCAACGTCCTAAGAGCAACTGTTTCTGTTTCCATGACATTGCCCAATGAAGCTGTATTTGAAGCTGATCAGCAGTTCCCAACGGGGGGGCGGCACTGCCTCCTGAAGGGGGCTGACAATGTGCGGGGGTGTCTGGATTATCCAGTGGCTGAGAATATGACTGGTATTTAGTGGGTGGGGATGCCAGACTGGCTACATTGTCTGAAGAGTCCCACGCAAGGAAGAACTGTCCCGCCTGAAAAGTCATCTTGTTTTACATGAAGAAACACACCCATGATGAGAAACACACCCATTGTCTTTCTCCAAGTAAAACAATGCACAAACCATACCGCCTCCTCTACTCTTTCTTTTCCCACCCAAAGCCTCTCCCTGTTTAGAAACGTGACATTTGGTAGTATAAGAATTCGAGGGACCAAGGCCAGTCCCTGGGGGTGGCCAGCCCCCGTGGCCTCTGGTCATGCTGGGTGAGAAGCCTCCTTACCTGGGAATTTCAGTGTGGATGGAGCACCTGTCATCCAGAAACATGTCAAAGCCATGCAGACTTGCTAGCAAAGAGACGAGACACAGTTAGAGGCAAGGCCAGGCAGTGTGGGAGGATCTCCGTTCCTATACGGGCTGGGCCAGCACCCCCAGTGAAGAAGCCAGAATGTCTGGAGATGCACTTGGATGGGTTTTGCCCAGAGTCCATTTTGTTCTCCCAAAAAACTGAGAAAAACAGACTGTGATAGGTACATACTATGCCAACTACTTAGAAGACAAAAGACCCCAAAATCTAAATAATGGGGCAGCTAAGAGTTAGGACCAGATACGGCAGCGGGTAATGGTGACCCATGACCTAATAGCACTAAGGCCAGTGTCCTACTATTAATTAGCCATCTCAGCCATGCCCCGACAGCTGATGCTAAGGGGACTGTCCACTGTCACAGACCTTTTCAGAGCATTAAGGCAGTATTTTTTTTTTTTTATTAAACACAACATATGTATGACTCTTCGTATGTGTCAAGCACTTGTTCTAATGAACAAATATTAACCAAGTTAATAATTAAACCTCATCTGTCACCCTGGCTAACAAGCAGCAAAGGTTTGCATGCAGCCTAGGTCCAGAATCCATGCTCTGAACAATTATAATAAGCTGCTTTTTGAACAGCATATATCAACAAGAGCTTTAAATTTTTGCACATCCTTGACCCAGGAGACATGCCTTTTGTAAGAATTTCTCCTAAGGAGATAACCAGCACCAACCAGGAAGAATCTACACAGGAGAATGTTTATGCAATCTGTACTAGTGAAAGGCCAGAAACTACCCACGGGGGCAAGCATGAGGAGAGACCATGCCGAAGTCTTGGCACCCTAGAGAAGGTGAGTATTATGTTCATGGAGAATTCTTGCCACCATCCTGCCTTCCCAAGCACAACAAGTGTGCTCAGACACATGGGAGGAAATGGGAGCAGTGGATGGATGGGACGCCTCCGCTGGCCTAGGGCCCAGGCTAAGGCACACTCACCTCCCTTGATCTTTTAATTCCAAGGCTACGCATTTATCAGTCCGATTTTACAGATGAACAAAGTAAGGGGCAGGAGGCAGGAAAAGGATGCCTGAGACCACAGCATGAGCGGCAGAGCTCATTTCAGAGCACACACTGGCTGCTCTTTCCACATTGACTTGCTAACTCCATATACTCCCGGGGCCTCATGAAGGGGCCTTTCTACTTAACTCTACCCCCACCCTAGGTCATTTACCTAATTATGTACAGAAAATTACCTTAAATGTAGGAAAAAATTAATTTATTGAAAGCTATGTACCAGCATGTTTTAAATGCTTTGCATGGATTACCTCATTTAATTATCCCACTAACTGTTAAGATAGGAATCCCTTTCCTTCCCATTTTACTTAAGAAACAGAAGCAGAGGGGTTTAGCAAATTGCGTGTGTGGTAGGTGGCACCAAATGGCATTGTCGACAACAGAGAGGGAGCATCTACAGGGCCAGGGTCTCCATGGCTCATCACCCACACTGCGCAGCCCTGCAAGACGGAACTTGGGGTTTCATTCCGAGTCTTCCAAGTGTTAGGCCCTTGCCACGCCTGCCCCCTTCACAGCACTTACATACTTTGGGCAGCTTCGCAGATGCCAATCAACTGAACTTCACTGCTCAGCAGGAGGGTGCACGACCTGGAGGGGCAGGTAGCCGCTGCAGCTTTTAACAACAGGGGACGGAGCTTGCGAATCACACTCTGGGGGTAGCAGTGCCTGCTAGAAGTCTGGATGGGGCGTGGGTGTGGGGGTCCCTGTGGTTTGTACTTTGAAAACCTGTATCCGAGCACGAGTGAGCTGAGTTCCTTTGGGAATGGGCCAGCATTCCTAACAGAGCAAGCTCCTACATCCCAGACACATCCTCTGAGTGGTGGTGTGAGCATTAGGTCTTCAGGAGCCAGGTCAGCACGAGACAGAGGGGAGGCAGGCAGATGGCACCATGATGGCATCCAGAGTTGGACATCAGAATGTAGGTGCCTGAGCAATGGTCCTGCCCCTCGCTTAGCTCTTTACTCCTGACCTTGGCAGGTAATGTAAGGGCCTGATTTATGTGTCTTATCCTCAGTAATTTCCACAAAGTCAAACCTTGGCATAATTTGAGCTGGTGTTGGATGTGTACAGAATGACTTCATAACAGGAGCCCTCATGCACCATCTTATCTTGGGGAAGGTGTTATGGACTGTATACCCCCACCCCCAAATTTTTAAGCTGAAGCCCTAATGCCTAATACCTCAGAATGTGACTATATTTGGAGACAGGGCCTTTTAAGAAGTAATTAAAATGAGACCATGAGGATGGACCCTACTCCAATCTGACTGGTGTCATAAGGAAAAGACACCAGGGATTATAGTGCACAGAGAAAAGCCCAAGGCCAGCGGCATCAGAAGAAATAAACTCTGCCAACACTTTGATCTTGGGTCTCCAGCCTCAGCACTGGGAGGAAATAAATTTCTGTTGTTTCAGCCCCCAGGGTAGTAAACTAATACAGTGGTTATATCCACTTTATATTCTGACCATTGCCTACTACGATTCAGAATGGTAAGTGAATACAGTATACTGGAAGGCTGTTTGGTTAACACTTTTAATTATATGATTATAATTATACAATTTTCACTATTCAGAATTTCGTATAAAACCAGTTACAATACACAAGATTTTCAAACTCGACAATATGTATCAAACTACATAGATATGCAAAGTTTACACGCCATTATGAAGCTTTATCTTAAAAATACCTTCAGGAAAATAAACATTCATTCAACCAGTTCTCTTGGCTTTATAAAATATGATTAGAAATATACATTTTAATAAAAAATCAAGACAATGACTGACCAAATACTGATTAATCAGTTACATTTTAAAACTTTTTAATAATCTGTACATGAGTGCAGGTTAGATAAAAGTCTGCAAATTATTAATATAAAACTGCAGTACTATAATCAGATGAACATACCTGCTGACAGTTATTCTACTGGGCAGTTAAGGAGGTAATTTCTTACACAGTATAGATGAATTGTCCAGTCTTTTAAATATATCTGTAGCATTTCCACTTAGGAACATGAGGAATACTCAGATTTAGGAGAAATGGAAGAGCAGCAGCTAGCCTTACCAGGACAGTTTCAGCGGGAGATAGCTATTAAAGAATCAAAATATGCTTTTAAAGTTGTTTTTCATGAGCATTGCTTTCCAAGATGCAATTACTTTAAAAAATGTATGAAGAGGAACAGTTAAGCTACTTTTAGAACAAACATCAAAAGAGCGCATTGCTCATTTGTCATGAATGGTGGTGATTCAAGCAAAGGGAAGCTTCCAGAAGCTCTTGGCACAACACCACCCAGAAGGCCTGACGGTCCGCAGGGCACACAGAACTGGCCATTGGGCTCCAAGGGCAAACATATTCGCCTCACAAGCACTCTTGGGAACTCCTCTAAAAATTGTCTGGGCCCAAGAAAAGAGGTAGGAATGAATGACCCCTGTGAGAGGGCAGGAGGGCAGAGAAGAAAGCAGGTGGGTGACAGGCAAACAGGGCCAGGCCGAGAGCAGAAAGATGCTGGAGACTAGCAGAGCAGCATGCCGCCCAGACGCGGCTATGTGGACAAGGCAGGCTACGTGTTTCAGTGAGGCACTGCTCAGGATTAACCCCTCTTCACAGACAGCTCAGAGAGATTTCTAGTTTTTCTTTAGCATTACAAAAGAGAAGTCTGTCTATACTTCTAGGTACCCAGTTTTGCAGACACACTTCCTTTGGACTGTCTTGGGCTTTGGACATGAGTCCCCAAAAAGCTTCAAGGACACCTAAAAATATGCATTTCTAATGCTAATTTCAAAGAAACGGTCTTGGTGTACTTTCAAAGCTATTTAAGGCTCTTAAGTTTAAAGGAATCTCTCCATCTGACGTGCCCTATTTCATATTCCATAGCAACAGGGTCTTTCTATGACAAAGGACTTGAAGTTAGAATCTCAGGAGATTCTGGGTGTGTTGAAGTTTCCATTGGGGAAAAAAAGTCCACTCTTATTCATAGCAGAAAGAACTTTCCATCAGACCCAGAGACTTCCTGGATTCTAGAAATGCCCTCCAGTACATTTAATAATAATGTGCTATGAAATCCACCGGAAGCACTACCCCAAGTCCTTGCTGTGTTCCAAGGACTGCTCCTTTATCAAATCACAGTTTGCTGGGACTCACTTTAGTGAGCCTGTTAAATAACAAGATTTTTTAGAAAGAGCCACAGTGATAGCAATTCTAGCTGGAAACTTGAGCAGCTGACACAAAAAGGCAATTTATAAAATAAAAAGTACTGTGGTTAACACTGAAGCCCAGATTTTTACACTCTTGGCCAAGACATCAAATGGCTTATTCACTGGGAGGGAGACGGCACATTTAACTTGTTCTGATGTAATAAACAGCCAAACCAGGAAAAGTTCTGATGGAAGTTTGATTTTCATAACTACCTGGATTATTTATGCAGGAAATGGCCTTCAAAGATGTCAAGGGAAGAAGAATTGCCCTGAGAATTCAATGTTTTATGCAAGGGCATAGTCTGAATATTATTGTCTCCTAGCACGAGACAGCTAATGGAATGTTTCTCCTCCCACCCAGAGCTTAGTGAAGAGAGGTCTTCCCATCAGGTAAGTGGGTCTTTGTGTCTATTCACTTCCAGGGATAGAAAACCACTTTTTTTTCTGAGATCTAGTCCCCAGCGTTTAAAAGTTGGCATGACACACCCCCATACCACCTGACAGGGAAGAGCCGCCTGTTTGACCAAGATGATGGCACCATCTCCCCTCGAAGCCAGTCAATCTTATAATTTACTCCAAGAGAGTAAATATTGAAATGGAGCCACGGCCTTCCAGTAACTTTTTGCATTAACAGAGTAAAATCTGTTTATTTCAATTGCTTCTTACTCCTCATAGTTTTGTTAAAAAGGTAACTTTTTAACAAAAGGAATTGCTTACTCGCCTGATTCATTCATCTTGTAAGGTGAAGGCATTTGCCTTCTGTTGCCTTTCCATATTGTATCTCCTGCTCTCCATTCTAGGATAGGCAAAAATTGGTTAACAATAACTAAAACCATTCACTTCTTATTATGGAGGTAACCAAGGTGACTGCAAACTATTCTTTTATTTTGGGCCCCCGTTTTTTGTTTTAGCAGCAAATAAATAGTTTTTGTGATTGCTTTATATCACAGACTCTGCTGTGTTTCTGGAGGGTGGAGGGGCGAAGGCACACTGAAAAGAGTTAGTTGTATTCCCCAACCAAAGGCAACAGTGAGTCTCTTATTTACAAACAACTGAAATCCAGATGCTAGTAACTGTCACTGAAATCAAAGGGTGTGTGAATGGCCTTAGGCTGATCACATAAAAAAAGAAACCCACAATGTTACAGAGAAAAACCTGAATAAAGCAGTACTTTTTTTTTTTAGCCATCGTTATTTGGGATGGCTGTTTCCAAGGGAAAACACCAACAGTGTTTTTTTTTTAATCATGCGTGGAAGGAAACAGGATTTTAATTTGTATGACTGGGCAACCAAATCGTGGGCAGCCTTGGCATGCTCCAGTCCCTCAATGACATAAAGAGGAATGACTTACAACAATCTTCCGACTCTGAAGGCAGCGTCCCCTCCTGAGTCTTCTAAAGCTACCACTCATGTTCTCTTGCAAATTCAGCTGCCAAAGTACCACTTTGTATCACAACATCCAACAGTCCTCAAACACGGTTTTCACAGATTCTTGTTAATAAAGCACTCTTTGGTGGAAGACAAGCAGCTTGGGTACTTAACAGAGTTACCATTACAACAATATTACAAGTATTAAAGTGAAGATGTTTAAACCAAATAGTATCAAATTACAGAAAGTACCATTTCAGTAATGCCTGTTTTCTCTTTATAAATTTTGACACAGGGTGAACAGAAAATAAATACATAAAAAACCTCCATCAGATCCTCGCTTCTTCTGAAGGCCAGCAGCTAAAATGATTGCCATCACAGGGACACACGTGCACCACACAGACTAGTCAGCTCTCCTGACAACAGAGGGCTTTGATATTTACACCTGAGACTAAATTTACAATAGCTTTTTTTGTCGTTAAACTTGAGATGTTTCTACAAAAGGAGAGCTGGGCCTCCTTCAAGTCACTGCTTGTGCCCAAACTCATGTAGTTATTTTAAACTCCAGTGGACATTGTCTTCATTGAATAAACTTCTTAGGTGGAAAGCGGCTAAGGCTTTTGCAATTTTGTTTTGTTTCCAAATAAATTGTGCTAAGTTCTGCTGTAGGTTTCTGTTCCTAGAGTCTTCCTTCAGTTCTGGTCACAGGTTTTTACTTAACGCAAGACTGTTTTAGTCCTTGAAATGGAGGGACTACAGGGGGAGAAAAAAAAGGATTTTACCATGAAGGTTTCCAAGTGTCCCATATGTAGTTACCAAAGACAAGGAAGGCAACATAATAAAAGTAGTGACATGCTAAGAAGTATACACTTTGTATAATTCTTTAATGACAAGTATTTTGGAAAAGACAGTACAATATCAACCATAAAGTAAAGACAAATGGGAGAGAAAGGCAGAGCAGAAAAAGGTTCAGTTCTGCAAAAAATAAAAAAACAATAAAAACAAAGAAAAAAAGAAGGGCGGGCAGAAGCAGCAGAGCAATGAGAGTACCATAATGCCATTAAGGGCATTTGTTGCAAAGCATTCCTTTTCCTTCTTTCCCTCTGAGGAACCAGGCTGTGGGAAAAGTGGAAAGAACGAAAAGATAAAGAAGTGTTACTTGATTATTTCCAAAGCCAGAATTCGGTCACAGAAAAAGCTCTGGCACCTCAAGCAGTTTCCAGTTCAGCAGCACGGAGGGCACCCGCTCCCAGCCAGCCTCAGACCACGATGCAGGTGGGGCACATCTTGATGGATTCTCCTCTTACTTCCCTTCTCTCCTACCCTGGTTTATGTAAACTTTCAACTAACTAGCAGCTTTTAGAGAAGAACTTGAGCAAAAGGAAAGAGTCAGAGAAGCCAATTCCAATCTGGAGGTGCCCCTCACTGGATGATGAGGCCACTTTATCAAAGTAGCTCATCTGAATCGATGACTTAGTTTTTGGAGACCCCAACAGAGTACTGAGTATAAAGGTCCAGGTTAACTGGTACAGCCAAGTGGGAAAATGTCTGGAATTTCAAAGGGAAATTAGTATTTTAGATGAGCAGAGGTAACCAGCATTCTTTTTTAAAAAGATATTTCAGGATATTTAGAGACAACATCCTGGGGCTTCTAGATGAATGGATTTTCAGAGATAATGGCAATAACTGAAAATTAAAGACCAGAGGTGGTGGAATGGGTACTCAGCTCTGAGACTGTAAACGGACAAGAAGCAGTGACAGGTGGGATAATGACAAAAGTCACAATTGAGAAAACTTGAAAAGCCAAGAAGTCCTAAATGTAGCGATTTCCAACTGAAGGGCTCGTGAAGACATGTTTTTCAGAGACCTGAGCATTTATCTCCCCCCATGTGAATAATCAGGTGCAAAATACCCCAAAAGTCATAAATATTAGGTTGGTTTGACAGATGGAGCAGAAGGTGATGGTTCCAAATGATGCAATTTAGAATTAAACAAAATAATTTGTCCATGACGAGTTTCTCAGAAAATGGATGAAGTTATAATTTAAAAAAAGAAAGAAAAGATTCCTCCAAAGAAATACCATAAGCTTACAGAAACATGTACTGGATGGTAAGTTGTGTGAAGACACAAACCGAATTGAATGTTATCAAATGAGATGGCTAGAGGTCCTCAATCAGATGCAGAGTGATGAAATTTTCAAGACTCTAAGAGAGCTCATCAGAGACTGGAAAACAGTCCAATTCTTTACTGGATTTAATAATTCTTAAAAGAGAAACATGAGAATGCATTTACAGATCTAACAGGAAGTGGGAGAGGAAGAAGATTTACTTCTTCAGACTTGAGAAAAGGGATGAGGAAGGTGCCACAGAGATGCTTCTCAGCCCCAAGGGTCAGTGTACTCCATCCACCACCAGATACTCCAGTGCTCTGGGCCTGAACCGCACAACTCTGTCAGAGCAGAGCTTGACACCCGCTGGGTAGGTTTATGTGTGGCTCACGTTCAAGGGATATAGGAGGGAATGATCATCTACCAAGAAGGAAACCTGGTGGCATTTCTTCCCAGCAACAAAGATTTATGACAACACATATTTTTTCAGCCTCCAAATAATTGCTCTTTCAATGTGTTTGTGGAAAAGGCCTCCCAAGTTGTAGAGCCTCTCAGTAAACTGTCAAAAATCAGAAAGCCAAATCAGTGGAAAGTGAGTTTAGGTGAGGTCTCATCCCGGAAGCCTCTAAGAAGAAAATAGAACATGGGAATGAAAGGTCAGGTTCCTACGGCAGAACAGATGATGTGAGAACACCAACCTGCAAAGAGAAGGCCTCACAGGTGGGGGTAACAGTAGACTGGCAATCCTTGTGCCTCCTAGGTATTTATTTTATACTGAGAAGTATACTGTATCATTTCCTTGTATTGCTGTCTAAAGCAAAGTTTTCTATTCAATACTTTATAATTACTCAACAATCTTGTATTATTTTGTCCTCAGATTATGCACAAATGTGTTAATTCCTTCATTACTCTCCAACCAAAAATGACTACTATTCAGTAGGATAAAAGCTTCAGGCTAACTGCTTGGCTCCCTCAGCTTCCACTATTTCCTAGAAGGAGGAAGTGGGACCTGTATGTAATGTATTTGCCTTTCTTTTGTGAGCTGTAGGTGGGTCACAGTTAAGGTAATGTGAACACAGGTCAAAGCTCCATAAGTGGCCAAGAAGACCCTGCATGAAGGGGACGTGTGTAAACACACTCGAAACCCAGCTTTCTCTCATTAGTTTATTTCTTCTCCCCTCCCAATCTCTGAAAGTCCCATTTTGAGAATTTAAAAGAAGACTTTTGGTTTTCAGCACTATGCCACATGCCTGGAAACTGCTTTGGGCCATTTCAAAATTCAGTTAAGTGTATTCAGTCTGAACTCTACTTTCAACCCCTCAAAGCATCTGGCCCAGGGACCTCAGGCAGATGCTCACTGCAATCAGGAACCACCTCTGCTGAGAAGCACACGTTTAGATCACTAGACAAGACCTAGATGGAAAAAGTGCCGCGTGGCCACGCCCCTCAGAGGAACGTGGTGTGACTGGGCACGCGTAGTCCCGGCTCCTGGACTCTATTCCTCTGTAGCCTGAAGAGCACAATCCAGAAAAGCAGAAAGCAGAATTAGATGTGCAAGACACACTCAAAACTGTAATAGAAGCCTGAGTAAGTATACCTAAAAAGAATATGTTCATTCAAAACATGTCTAACTATCCCCCACAGCAGGATTTTAATCTGAATTTTTAATAGGGTAATTCACCTGAAAGTGTCGAAGTTAAAATGCTCCCATTTCTCCCTACTTACTGTAAAAAAGTTGGGAGGAAAATCAAATGATAAAATAATAAAAATCCCTGGGGAGCCTGAGTGGCTCAGTCGGTTAAGTGTCTGAATTTGGCTCAGGTCATGATCTCACAGTTCATGAGTTCGAGCCCCGCACGTTGGACTTTGTGCTGACAGCTCAGAGCCTGAAGCCTGCCTCAGGTTCTGTGTCTCCCTCTGTCTGCCCCTCCCCTGCTTGCACTCTGTCTCTCGCATTTTTTCAAAACTAAATAAACATTAAAAAAATTTTTTTTAAATAATAAAAATCCCTAACTACCCTACCAACCAGAAGAATTGTTAATATTTCAGCATTTGTTATCTTATTTCCATACATGCATAGAAACATATGCATATATACTTAAGTATATGTATAATTTATAAGCTTATATACTACATATAAATACATATGTATGAACATATATTTGTAGAGGTATACATTTCTATAAAGTATATTGTACATTTATAAAATTAGAGTAATACTTCCTAATTTTTATATGTGTGGCTCTTTTCACTTACTGCTTCATGAGCATTTATCCAAGCCATTAAATTTTCTGTAAAAGCATGATTCTTGATTCATTTGGGATAATTCAACAATCTTTAGCCCATTTCCTCTTCCTCATGGTTATAAATAATGTTCTGATATTATAATGTACCTAAGACCTTTTGTCAGTATTTCTCTATTATTCTTCTCAAGTGGAATTAAGAGAGTAAAAAGAACTATGAATATTTGATACCTTTCTATGAAAAACTCAAAATCCCCAAGTCATCAGTTGGTGCTCTCAAATACTTGTACTAAGGCACTATCACATTCTGATGTAAGTAAAAGTCTGTAGTGAAACGTAGAAAGAATTAGCAAAGAGAGGAAAATGGCAAAATTGAACAATTCCTTAAACACAAACACATACACACACCACAGAGTTTTCTGGTTTGTAGTGAATCCCTCAGGAAACAGGCTGCTGGGCCCTGCACCCCGGAGACTAACTCGGCTGTCCCACAGCCTCAAAGACAAGAAGGCAAGAAGTTAAAAAGAAACAAGGAAAATAGGGAAGGATGTTTTAAAGTCTGGTTTAGACTATCTTCAGGCCGGTTGTGGTCTATTATAAGACAGGCGCTGGGCCATGAGCACAGGACCACACATGTTAACACCAGGCGAGGATACATAAACACAAAAAGGGTACCTGCCTTCTTCTATTCATAAGATGACAGTTAAGTAGGTTATCTGCTCTTCCCTCAAAAGGGAACTGCTTCTGGAATATGTTAGAAATGAAATGTCTGCCTTTAGTTCATGATAAACATCCAAACGCAACAGTGAGTAATGGATTTGGTCATGGAACATGTGTATTTTCTTGTCACAGCCTGTAATAATGAAGGAAGGGAAGGTGCTGGGCTCCTGGTGAAAGCATGAGCCCCCATGGGTGTGGTGTGGACTGCGGCTAAGAGACCAGGCCCTAGGTAAAAAAGGATCCTAAACTCACTGGAGTTCTCATATTCCACCATCACACTTGAACTTATAAGTACAACACTCTCAACTTCCCCATATTCTGACCCTGAGACACATCTCCAGTGTTCAGAACCACCTCTGAAAAACAAAACAAACCCTACATTAAAAATGGCCCAGATTTTCTTAGATGATGAACAAGTCAAACACATTTGATTAATTGTCCATCTTAGGGACTGTGCTTTCTCCTCTCTTCCTCTTTTCATTTCTATATCCAGAAGATTAAACTGGAAAACCAATGCTTGGAACTTTTCAGAAGAGTAGGATTCTTTTCTCACCTTTTAAAACTGCTTTTTCTTGAAGCAGATCTGGTGGTTCTTTTAGTAATGCCTGCACTGCCAGAAATGTTAGGTTCAGATGTTTTACAGCTCTGAACACTGGACTGAAGAATTACTCTGAAAACAGTTGGAAAAAAATAAGATTATATTCACTGAAACAATTTTCAAATACCTGACAGAGGAAGGCATTGTTGTACTTTAGTGCAAATTATTTTATTGAGAATTCATAGGATTTTCCGTAAACACACTTGCCAATAAAAATGTGAAACACATTTTCACATCCAAGACTTTTGAATGAAGCATCTCATTTCCCAATAAAGGTTATACAAAGATAACTAGAATATACTTTGCTTTTGGAAAACAAATGACCTGGCATTTTAAGCAATTCCCACACCAAAGAAATCAATCAATAAAACAAATCTTTGTGTCCCAAAGTAAAAGTAGGTTCTCAGAATTCTACTCTTGAAAACAAGATTTCATTTAAAAACCCCAAATTCTAAAGAATATGAATATAAAAATCTACAATAGTCACTCTTCAGAGGTGAAAGTAAGGGCAATAAATGCCAAATCAATACTAATTTTACATAATATTTCAAATTTTAAAAATATGTTCAAGCAAAATTTGAATTTGTCTGGATTATAACCTACTTAATTAAATCATTAAGCACCATTAACATGAATACAAAACTGTTTAAATTCTTTGAAAAACCTGATTTAATTAAACTCTAAAATAATCTCAAGGAACTGATGCCTATGGGTGTAGGTTGCCCAGGAGGCAAATTCATGAGTCAGAAGAACACCCTCAGATAAAAGCCCACATAGAGGACCTTGCTCAAAAGTAGAGGGTGTTTCGTAATTACTCACTGAATGGCCACAGGGAAAACAGAAAACATCAAAAGATTTTATATGCAATTCTTTCCTTCAAAAGCTAATGGCGAAAACAATGAACTGCGTGGGCACACATACATTTATATGTACTCAACTTTTATTTATCTGTAAGAGAAAACACTGCCTTAATAATAAGCTTCCTCTTTTCATGTCCAACTCACAAGAGTAAAAAGAAACCATTACAGCTAACTAGTAGTCCTACCTCCTATGCCTGTGTTACCACCATATAAGTTACTAACCAAGGCCAGGTCCTTATAATGTAGCAAAGATTAGCAAATTTTTAATATTATGCAAACCACAGCATATTCAGCATCAGCATTTAGTAAAATGCTAAACTTCTCATCACTAAAAACACAATGGTGGCATTGTCCCAGAGCAGAAGCCTGGGGGCCAGTGGTTTTCAAGCTGTTTAGGGAAGGGTGGGGGAGGGGTGGGGCTACTCTCAGTGGTTTTGCTGTATCCCCAGAGTATTTCCCAGAGCCTGTGAAAGGACCTTCCATCTCAGAGGGAAACTGATTCTGGGTAAATGAGCCAATGCTCAACTCAGAATTTCTCATAAAGTTTTATCACTCTAATAAAATAGAAAAGGTACATGCAGACATAGTTGTTTGATCAAAGAAGGCAACCAACCGCAGAGGCATATGAATTCTACCTCTGAAACCAAGGATTTATTTAAAAATCTGATTATATCAAGTGGAGAGGGAAGGACAGGAGACTATTTAATAGTCTCTGTATCATTAACAGGATCTGAATATAGAATTTTTCATAAAATAAAGCACAACGACAAAACTTCTGCTATTTCTGAAGCCCAAGCCCAATGTGTGGTGCCACTGCCACGGTGGTCCTGAAGCCTTGCACCTGCTCAGCAAGGCTCCTGGTTTTTATCTCCATTTATACAGAGAAAATGAGACTCCCCTTAGCTTTTTGGAAATATCACATCTACTTTTCAAATAATTTGAGGCCACTTACGGCCAAAAGTATAGATAGTCACCACACTGTGAAATCATTAATATGAGAATAGAAACAAGAGCCAATATATTACTTGCTTGGGAAATTTAAGACAACTACTATGAAGGTTTACCATTTGAAAACAGAAATCACTGCTAAATCCAATTTTAGGCTGACAGGAAACATCTTTTAAAAAGTATGTTTCTCGGGGCACCTGGGTGGCTCAGTGGGTTAAAGCATCGACTCTTGATTTCAGCCCGAGTCATGATCTCATGGTTCATGGGTTTGAGCCCTGCATCAGGCTCTGTACTGACAGTGTGAAGCCTGCTTGGGATTCTCTCTCTCCCTCTCTCTCTGCCCCTTCCCCACTTGTGCTTGCTCGCTCTCACTCACTGTCAAAATAAAGTTTAAAAAAAATAAAATAAAAAGTATCTATTTCTCTGTAAAATTAGTGTAAATAATTTTTGTTGATTTTTTAAAAAAATAAGAGCATAACAGAAATTTGGAAAGCATTAATCGCAGTAGAGAGTCACATCACCAGATATTTGTATTAACAGAGCAGTTACTCTACCTGTAGGTTATGCATCAATCAACTGGAAAACCCCCCAGCAACTACACTTAGGTATTACCTGTGATAAACTACACACAACAACGTAAAGTGGAATAAGCTGACAAACACATGTGACGTTTTCACTCTGCTACAGGGTAAGCGGGAACCAGCTACCTCTCACCTTGCAAACCAAGCCAATCACATGGCTTTGCAGAGCAATGTTCTACAAATTCATACTTATTCTTGCCCATACAGCAGTTCACGTTTTTTGCGACTCCTCTTGAGTCCCAGTATTCCCAATGCAAATAATTGACAGGCCAGGCCTCTTATTTCCCAAACCACAAAATGCTTTGAACATAAATGTTCAACTCCAAGAAAAGAATCCATCAGTACAACTACGCACTATTGACACTTGGTTGTCTACCACTGACACACAACAAGCTTTCCAAATGATAGGCCTGCGGCCCTGCAACCTTCACAGACTCCTTTCCCATTGTCCCAGAGTTTGGCGCAGCCATCTGAGGCACTGGTACAGTCTGGTCTTCCAGGCATGACAGGTGATGATCTATCAGGCCATGCTACGTCATCAGCCAACAGAGGTGAATGCCACCTGTACAAGTGGCCACCTCAAAAGAAAACTACAAGGATTGTATCTGTTCACATCATTGTTACTGCCGAAAGCTTTTGTTTCTGTAAATTCCAAATTAAGCAGGATAAACTGAATATTCAGCTTTGGGTCTACAAATGCATTGGCAGATACCAGTAGTAACAATAAAGACTGTATCTTACGTAGAATATTAAAAAGAAAGGTGCTTGCCTGATAGAAATCATTTACTCACCCTGGGAAAAGAAATACAGTCATGAAGTGCCTGAGTATTATTAGCAATGACTCCACCCATTTAGAACTCCACCTATTTGAAATACCTTTCCCACTTGGAATAGTTTGAGAGGAATAAATCTGTGCAGTGCATGATGATCGAGTCAGAATATGCAAAAATCTAAGCTTACTAAGAGGAATAAAGGAAAAAAAAAAACAAAAAGATCATCTATGCCAGAAATATAGCTTATCTATGTAATAATAAGCTTGTATTGATAAGATAGTCAAGAAAATGTCATACATAGGAACATGTTAAGCAGCCTTTCCTTACTTTTGAAAAGAATAGTCTGCTGGATTTTTAAGTCTTTCCTAAGCCATCTGAAGATACTCCATGAAGCCACAAATTATGAGAGTTGGTTGAAATGGAATTCCACTTTGGAGGAGATCCTAGAAGGAACTTTCATATTCTTTTACAACTCCCAAGTCCAAGGTGGAACAAGAGAATAAATTCTTGAAATATGAGCTAAAGGAAGAATTTCAGAGAAAAAAGAACACACCCTCCTTCCTATGTTTGGTGTCAACTGTAAGGTGTTCCCCAGGAAAGCTTCCTGCCACAGTCTCTTCGCTGTTATGGTATTCATGAAGGATAAAAGATATTAAGAGAATACAATTCTGCAATATTAACCTAATAAGGGCATTTTGATTACTTTTGGGAAAGAAGGAAAGTGGGAGGAAGTAAGCATAGAGATTGTCATGCAGAAATACAAGGCTGAACAAGGGAATCCCGTCTTCTCTGCTGTCCCATTTCCATTTAACATCATTCCTGAAAACTGTACTAACTCTAGAGGGGAGGACATGAAACGAAGCAGAGGAGAAGATTCTGCTTCCTCAAGACAGAAGACTTCGCAGAGAAGCAGTTGCTGGCTGAGGGCAATGGCAGAGTCAGAGGTGAAACACGATGCAATGCTCACTAGACCTCACAGCTACAAAAGCAAATCTCTATCAACAGCAGAAAATCAGCGGGCAAATTCTTTTCGCTACATTGAAAAGGATATGCTAAAGACATTTACTCTAGAAAACAAGGGAAAACTGACTGACTGAAAACCACCCCAATTATCCCAAACTCGCTAAATATTTTTGATAGGGAAAAGAAACTATTCCAGTGACTTCATACATTGCCACTGCAAAAAAATCTGTTAAGAGTAATAAGCACAACCTAAAAACAAAGTTTGTTATTTTTAACATCCCTACATGAAAGGATCAGGGAAGACCTCCTCCCGCCACCATCCCATTAATTGAGAAGTTTCAGAAAAAGAACCTTTGAAAAGAGGCAAACCAATAAAGCTAGGAGAGCTGACAGTGAGAAAAACATGCATCATGAGAAACACACTGGCCACCAGAGGGGACCACGTAGAGAAATGGAATGGGACACTTACACAGCAGCTATTTGTCAAAGGGTCCCGACGGCTACTGTGTTCTGAAACCATCGAGACAGAATAGCAGGATGGGAAGAATGTAGTCACAAACAATCCACCAGATGACAACACTACACAGTGCAGAGGTCAGCACAGCTAGGGAACATCTGGAAAGGGGTGAAGGGGAAAGAACAGATGTTCAAATTGGGAAGCCAAAATAAATAAATAAATAAATAAAGCCACGTGTGAATTTTAGACACCCTATGATAGATACAAAGGGGTGGGAAACAAGGATGGAGTCTTGCTATTTTGTGCTGGGGGAGAAAATGCTACCTTCAGTTTTCAGCTGATTGGGTATTTGGTAACAAAAGGTTAGACCCGATCTCTAACCTCTAATCTCATGGGGGATAACTGCCCCATGTTAACTTAACTGTATGATACGGAAATCAGAGTTGTAGTTACATGACTGAAATTCTTCAAAAAGCACATGATATGCACACACAGAAAACTAAACCAAACCAGAGAAAAAGGAGGGAAACCTAACCAACCAACAATAACAAGAAGCTATGGCCTGATAATTAACAATGATTCAGAGAAGGTACAATTATAAATGAACACGGCATAGCAGATGTGATCTAACTTCCATGGAGTCATACGCTGGATCATCTGGGAGCTAAGGCAAACTGCGTATTCTGCATATAAGGCATAAAGAAGCACGTCCAACCCTGGGCAACACAGTATGAGGGCAATTTCCCCCATGTATTAACACCATATCTATTTTCTTAGTTGTTTTTTTTTTAAATTTTTTTAAATGTTTATTTTTGAGAGAGAAGGGGGGGGAGAGAGAGAGAGAGAGAGAGAGCGCGCGCGCATGAGAGAGAGAGCGAGTGCGCGAGAGCGCCGGGGAGGGGCAGAGAGGGAGACAGAACCGGAAGCAGGCTCCAGGGTCTGAGCTGTCAGCACGGAGCCCAATGTAGGGTTTGAACCCATAAACCGTGAGATCATGACCTAAGCTGAAGTGGGACACTCAACAACTGAGCCACCCAGGCACCCCTCCTTCATTGTTTTCTTCATTCGTTTTCCTCCTGTGGCCAAGCTGAGCTTTCAGCTCAGGATTTCTTAACCCAGCGGTCTAGTTTTTGGCAGTGAAGAAGGAAACCTCACAGTTGGAAGAGTGGTATTCCAGCTACTATAGTTCCAACTGGTCACCTGGACACATCTGTGACCAAATATAAAAGGCGCTATTATTGAGCATTCACTTTGTGCAAAGTACTGCATGAATCAAGTCATAAATGATTGGTCTGGCTTACTAGGCCATTTTTACTGGTGTCCTTGTCATCTGAATCATTGAACACTATGTGTCAGGCACCCTGGTATGGTATCTAGCAACAAGGGATTACACTAAGGATGAAACTGAAATCAAATCTAATCTCACCCTGCAAGTTACACCTAGTACCAGCTCATGTACTCCTCCCACAAAAACACAAACCTACTAATAAATGTTAAGATTGAAGGGGCTTAGTATTTAGACAGAACAGAATAAATGGCCCAGGAATACTAGAGAACTCTCCATCCACCCCAACTTTCATTTGCAGTTACTGATTTAACAGTTATCTTAACGGCAGAATGGCCAAAATATCCAAGTGTCCACATTACAGATTTTTCACTGTTCCTCTAATAAAGCTCCTGGCATAAGAATTATTTCCCAATGATGAAACACACACTCATCCACACTGTGCTATTAAAGAGGATTTGAGGCAAATTAGATCCATATTTTCACCTTATTCCCAGGTAGAGTACACTTCATTCTTTATGTACCATTTCATTTAACCCCAACAAACCTAGCAGAAATCATCACTATGCAGAAAAGACAGGCAGCATGGATGAAATTATAAAATCTACCAAATCTATTTTAGCACAGACAATAATATACGTGCCATCATATCCCGCAGATCACTTCAAGGTCATGGTGCTACATGATTTACTGTCTTCGTGGCAGTTGGGATCAGACAGGCTCCCTGAGAAAAGGACTATTTTACAATATCTAACAATTTTAACCCTCCCCCAAATACTGTTTGTAAAATAGAAAACAGTAATTGGAATGCTATTTTGTGTACTATAAACTTGCTCTTAAGAATCACCAGCACTGGAGGGGCACCTGGGTGGCTCAGTTGGTTGAACATCCGACTTCGGCTCAGGTCATGATCTCATGGCTCCATGAGTTCGAGCCCCGCGTCGGGCTCTGTGCTGACAGCTCAGAGCCTGAAGCCTGCTTCAGATTCTGTGTCTCCTTCTCTCTCTGCCCCTCCCCTGCTCACGCTTTGTCTCACTCTGTTTCTCAAAAATAAATAAATGTGTAAAAAAAAAAAAAAAAAAAAAAA